CTACTGTTTAACAAAGTTAAAGTAAAAATGTCTTATTTCCCTAAAAGGGCTATTTCTATTATTAAGCAGGCACAACTTAACAAAATAAAAGAGTTCCTGTGCCTCAACACAATACCTCTCATTATTTGCTGTGTACTGTACTGGCTAAGTGAATAACTGTTATTTTCATGCACCCCATTATTGGTTGGTTGTGAGGAGGGTTGATTTGTATAAGCTTGGCTTGACCATACTAAATGGGCATATAGCCCTGCTCCCCATGACCGCCGTGCATGGGACCGAACCTTGGTCTTATTAAAAAAAAAAAGTGGACCTACAGCATTTCTAGTTGAGGACCACTGCTCTAAATTGTCCCTAGGTGTGAGTGTGAGTCCCGAGGTGTGAGTGTGAGCGCGGATGGCTGATGGTCTCTGTGTGCCCTGCGATTGGCTGGCAACTGGTTCAGGGTGTCCCCCATCTACTGCCTGAAGACGGCTGGGAGAGGCTCCAGCACCCCCCGCGACCCTTGTGAGGATAAGCGGATCGGAAAATGGATGGATAGTCTAATTACTGAAGCCAGGGCTTAAACATTTTTTAATGTTATTGCATTTTGCTCAATTAGAGAAATTAAAAAAAAAAAATCATATCATCGCACTTTTCTATTCAACGTGATGTATCACTTTTTAATATCCAACGCTACTGATCCCTGGCGGTCTCTCTTGCGGATTTCTTTGAAATTACTGCCTGGACCTAAACAAGTTCATATGATTTTTTCATTAAAGAAAAAAATAGGCATTTAATCACACTAAACTATCAGTCCCACCGCTAATTACATACTTGGAAAAAAAGATGAAAAAGACGAGATTCTAATACAGTACTCGTGCAAAATACTGGTAAACACATTTTTGGCATATTGTGACTTATTCTTCCCTGGAATTAGAGCAACATAGAGCCCCTTTAGTGGAATACTACCACGTAATCACACATTGCATAGGACATATGCTCTCCATTCTTTGGATTATGAATACCTCCATACTAAGTCGTCTCCATGTCTCGCCTCTTTCGTGTTCTCTGAAGTGTTAGTCCAAAGGGCCGTTTGATGGAATACATGAGCGTGAATTCCAAGTGAGCCTCTCAAGCACACAGGCAATCTCTGTGTCTGGCCTTGTTGCCGTGGTAACCCGCTTCCACTGCACTGACAACTCGGTAGCGGTACCTGTCCCTGCGTAGAACTTAGTGCAGTTGCCATAGTCGATGTCTTCCTGTCGGATGTCAAACTGGGGTAAGGCAATAGCGTCCATCTGCACGGGGTCCCCCGTCTGCCACATGAACTGCAGGTCGTCCGTGGTGTAGCCGACTGGATTGACAGACAAAGCGTACGTCTAATATAGTTGGTATGGCTTTAAAGGTTACTTTTTTTTTTTTTTTTTGAGACTCACAGCTTTCCAGTTGCATTTTACACCTCTGTGTGTCCATGGGGAACAACGTCAGGTCTAGCGGACAAGACAGCGTGACTGACAACCTGCGGGTTGGAGGAAGACATTTTTTTTTTATGCTGCCTCATTTACGCCTAGGCAGGGGACTCATTTGTGAGAGATTAATAGCAAGCATATTCTAGATCAACAAACTATGAAATTACAGCCGCACATGATTACAACCTGTCTACTGACGCCTCGGGGAAATTATCTAACTAGCTTATTGCTTTGCTTTTTAGATTTTGCAAGGGTAATTGTGCACTACCACACAGTAAAGTCAACTCACTGGCCAAACAGATCCAATGGAAAAATGATCTGCAAGCAGTGAAAAATGGGCCCCCAGTACAATGGCGAATCCTCTAAATGATCGTTTGAGGCTGTGTTCCACTCACTTTTGGGCATTGGCAAAAAAGCTTCACAATTTAGCCTTCCCCATCTGAGTAGGATACCAGCTTCTAATTGGGACTCATTTGGACAAATTTCCTAGTTCGTCAAAGTACGCGCCCTGGAATTCACCGATATTTGCTCCCTCAAGGTAAAGAGGCTAATTTCCTGCCCAATTTCAGGCATGGATTGTTGAGTCCTGTTATGAACGAAACACCGAGCGAAATGTGACATTCCAACCCTACAACTATTTAACTGAAACAATACCTCATACTGATGAGCACGTCACCGTTGCGGAAGATGAAGAGGAGGATGTTCTCCTGCGTGACGTCGTGGAAGTTGGCGCTCTTCTCGTTGGCGAAGAACAGGTCGGGCTTCCAGAGGCATTTGAACATCTTGGGGTCCACGGTCAGCGAGTCGGACTTGAAGTCCTGTGGCAGTTTGAGCCGTGGGTCGTTCCAGCGCTGCCGTAGGAAGATGTTGACTCGGTAGTCCTGCGGATTATTTCAAGTCACTTCTGGTTATTTCTCCTGTGCAAGATGACAGTTGTAGTAATTGGCATGAGGAGCGATTGCAATAATTATGCAACATTTACAGATGATTTGATTGACTGCAGTTTATGTATATCCGTCGCACTTATTTCTCGCGTGCAAGGTGGCATCGCATTATTTGACATGGTGTTCCAGTTGTTTGGGACAAAAAACTAAAACGACGATCGACCAAAGTAGTGCAAACTTGGCAGGATGAGCTTCGAAAAAAACTGCTGAAACAATGGTTGCGAGTGGTGGTATGCCTGGTGAGCAGAGAGTGAAGCTAAATAAGAGTGCAAGCCCATCAATGAGGGTTGTACACACAGACCAATGAATTTGTCGATGTTAATCAAGTGCGGACCAATTTTATTTCTCGTAGAAGTGCCACGATTCATCGGCAATTTGATTATCAGATTAATCAATCGTTATTTTTGATGAAGGATTAATCATTTGAAGATTTTGTTTAATTTAAAATTATCCAAATCCTCGCTAATTCAGCCACCTAACAGAAGATATTCTATGATTTCTGTTGTCCTCTATGAAAGCGGATGATTTGGTGTTTTCAAAATAAGATATTTGCAATCATTTGCAAACAACTGCTCTTACTGTGAAAAACAACGCAATACAATACAATACATTTTTATTTATATGGCGCTTTCACAACAGCAGCGGCTGTAACAAAGTGCTTTACTACTACTACAACAGAACACAAAACATTAACATAACTACAACCGTAAGAACTATTCCTACATACGTCTTGCGTTGGAAGTGGTTCTGGACAAAGGAAACAATAATCAACATTTTTTGCAGATTTTTATGATCTTACAGAACAAACCCTTAAGTGAATCAAAAATAATGTAAAATTGGGCATTTTCTGTATGACCAATTTGAAATAATGTCCCGTTTCTGAATAAAGTGATGGACATTTCACGTTTTGAAATGTAAATCCATTCACCGACAAAATAATCCACAGATTAATTGATTGTTAAAATAAGAGATTTTTTTTGGGGGGGGGGTTCATCATCATCATCACAATAATAACAATCATATAATATAATAATAATCTAGTATTTATTTAGTAGTATTTATGAATTAAGGGTTGGTTCCAGCAACAGCTGGAATTTTGTTGAATGAAATGTTATAGTTATGAATAACAAGGCATGGTAAAATCCATCTTGCAGATATGTTTTTATAGGTCAAATTGAAAATAAAAAAGCTCTCAAAACCCTAATATGCTCGATAAAAAGACATGTTTGAAATCAGCATTTAGGGAGACCGACGCCATCTCGTTACCTCTGCGTCCAGCGTCCTAGACGCATAATTTTCCCGCGGGATGCACAGTTCCAAATAATGTGCGTTTTGGGACGCAAGGAAATTTCTCAGTCAAAACAACAACAACAACAAAAAAATGGCAGGCCTGAGGATTTCACGGTAACAATCGTT